CACCCAGCACACACACTTTTTGCCCCACTCCCCTCAGGAAGGAGGTTAAGGAGCATTAAGTGTAGAACCACTAGACTGAGGAACAGCTTCTACCCTGAGGCTGTTAGACTCATGAATCTCTAACTAGAATAATCACTGTGAAAAACCATATCATGTTGCTGCTGATCTGTTTCATGTTGCTGCTGATCTGTTTCAATGTTGATGTGTTCATGCGTGCACATCTGCTCACAGACTCATGTTCATGTTTGTGCTGATGTTCAATGTTTTATGTTATGAGTGCTTAGTGTATATTTCATTGATGTTTTTCTTAGTTCATATCTTAGATGTTATTACTGTTTTTCTTCTACATTTTATTGTTGGATGTAACTGGGACCCTGTGTACATAATTTCGCTCCACCACATGTACCACATGAGGTGCGAATGACAATAAAGAAACTCTGACATTGTGACCTTATAACACCTGACAGTGTGGCGTATAAAACTAAATCGGAATCGGCAGGTTAGACTTTTTAGAAATAGGTGATCGGCCAGAAAACTGCAATCGGTGCAGCCCTAAACTTGCTTATAATAATGTAAAATAAGGAACAACGTACACCATCATCATGTAGCGTAAAGCTAACAGTTAGCAAAAGCTAACATTTCTTACCTCGTCTCGGAGGTGATCGACTCCTGCTTCGACCCATTTCTCGAAACAGCTGAAACGCTGCCCTCGAAACGAACTAATTAAAATATTTACCTGTACAGAGGAATTTAAACAACTTTGAGTTTGGGTGAATATTAACTACGAACACAAGGCCCTTCTTTATCCCGATTGATTGGTTGTCTAGTTTTAAACTTCCGGCACAGTTCATGTTGTACTGCGCCCCCTACCGACCTGTAGGACCACACTGCTCCAGGGAAAGATGAAATGTGCTAAGACCTTTAAGTGATGAAGTGTTAGATATATTATTGATATTATTTAATAAAATATAGAGAGAAGGGCGTTAACCATGTAGATGGAAAGAAGCAATTATTATCCTAATAAAGAAACCTGAGAATAAATCATAGTGATCCTGGGAATTACAGGTCGATTGCTTTAACCTCTAATATGTGTTGAAGGAAAGGTTGGTGAATGAGAGATTGATGCATTATTTCAAGTCAAGAAACATAATTGCACCTTAACAGAGTGGGGGGGTCAGAGGAAGAAGAGCAATGGATCCTATTTTATGTTTAGACGATGACATTAGGAAAGCTCAGATTATAAGGAATCTGTTATTGCTGTGTGGTTTTGATGTATAAAAATGATATGTAATGGAGACAAGGGTTAATGATTAAATTACATCAAGTAGGAATAGGAGGAAATATGTTTAATTGGTTAAGAGATTTTTTTATGTGAGAGAACTTTTCAAGTTAAAATAGGATTGCATGTATCACAGCAATGTAAAATAGAAAATGGAACTCCACAAGGAAGTGTGGTAAGCCCTACGTTAATTTCATCCATCCATTATCTTTTACCCGCTTCTTCTATTTTGGGTCAGGGGGGTCGCTGGTGCTCATGTCCAACAATCACTGTGCGAGGGGCGGGGTACACCCTGGACAGGTCTTCAGTCCATCACAGGGCCACATAGAGACAAACAAGACTAAAAACCATTCACTCTCTCACTCACACCTAGGGACAATTTAGAGTTACCAATCAGCCTAACATGCATGTTTTTGGTGTGTGGGAGAAAACCGGAGTACACGGAAAAAATCCATGCATGCACGAAGAGAACATGCAAACTCCACCCAGAAAGCCCCCCGGACTGGGATATGAGTTGGGGACTTGTTCGCTGAGAGGCAGCAGCTCTACCAGTTGCACCACTGCGCTGCCCACGTTATTTTCATTATGATTAATTATATTTTTAAAGATTTAGCTTTAAGTTATGGTAAATCACTTTTTGCAGCTGATTGAGCATTATGGAAAAGGGGGGAAATGTAGAATATCTTATTTTCAAACTTCGAGATGAGGAAAAGGTTCTAAACATGATGAGGTGTTTAGCAGGGTTGACATGGAGTGCTAAATTTGAGTCACTTAAAAATATTTATATGTCATTAATCAGGTCAAGAATAGATTATGGGAGTGTGGTGTATGGATCAGCATCTAAAACTTGGCTGAAATCAACTCCAGTATGTGCTCTACAAGTAGAATGGTTTATGTTATATATATATATATATATATATACACATCAGTCTTCCCAGTTTTTATTAAAAAACTAAACACTCGGATGAAGAGATTCATCCACAGACTATTTCATTTACATACCAAGAGCGGTAAGATAGGCAACGTTCAGATAAGATTTTAACAGAAGTTTATTTTCTCAGGTGTACTCATAAGACCTACATTTTAACCTGACCTTTGTTGTAAACCTTTGTTGTTTTCAGGATTGAGGAGTAATAATGACCAGTGCCACCCAGACTACGTCCCATCCATCTTCCCTCAGCACCCCGAGCGAAGTGAAGTCAGAACTTGCAAATCAATTCAATTTCAATTCAGTTCACTTCAGTTTATTTATATAGCGCCAAGTCACAACAGAAGTCATCTCAGGGCACTGAACAGAAACATTCATATATAAAATAATAATTTAACACCATTTATCTGAGGAGCAGACTGCTTTGAATTTAACTCCATCACAGAACTCTCGTCTTGTGCATGCACCCCCCCTAAACACTGCATGATGTGAAAGAGCTGTGAGGAGGGCCAGCTATCCAGGTATGTAATGAAGCTGTTTACTAACTGAATATGTCTTGTTTTATTAAAGATAAGTGGAATACTGTGGAAGTGACATTCAATTCAATTCAAAAATACTTTATTAATCCCAAAGGGAAATTATTTGTTGTTGTAACTCGTTATCCTCGTTTCATTAAGAGATGTTATAGATGCTGATGGCTGTAGGCAGGAAGGATCTCTTGTAAAAGTCCATCCCACAGTGGATCCTAAGAAACTGGCTGCAGATGCCGTCTGATCCGTCCACCCAGACTCGGCTGGCCTCTCGGTTCCCCTGGACTGTAGGACCGCCTGAACGCCGGGCAGAATTCCTCCCAGAGCCATGGCCACTCCTCCCAGCAGTCTGCCGAGCTCCTTGTCGCTGCGGACAGCCAGCTGTAGGTGCCGAGGGACGATCCTGCCCTTCCACTGTCATGAGCCGTGTTTCCTGCTAGTTTCAGGATCTCAGTGGTCAGGCACTCAAGCACAGCTGGCAGGTAGATGAGAATGAGTCCACAGAACATCCTTTCAACTCATATGAGATTTGGGACTGTAGTTGAGATATTATTTGAGATTTTTATATGTTAATCAGCTGCTGTTGGTTGTAGAAAACTGCTTTGTTGCCATGGTTACGCATCATAACAAATGTCCAAAACTAAAAAAAGTTTCAGTAAAAATCCTTCCAGCTGCACAGCATCTGATACCAGAGGAAACAATCATCCAAATAAAGTGATTTACATCCAGAAAAAGAGGAATTAAAGTTTCCAAAAGCAAAATCTCAGAGTGAAAGTAACAGAGCTGCTCCAACATGCAGCCACCTGGAGAGGCGCAATGCTAGAACATCAAGCACACTACAAATTTGGATTATTGTGTCTAACAATAGGTAAGATTAAAAAACTTTAGAACCTGCTAAATGCAGATTATTTAATTTTGTCCTGATGTGTAAAACTGTAGAAGTGGACATTTTTCCATCAACACTGTTCCTAACTTCAGACAAACTAAATAATGTAAACGTTTTGTAAATAGTTTCAGCTCCTGTTCTGAAGTGAGCAGCAGGTGGAGACAGAGACCATCGTCTGCCCATTTCCATTTCATTCTTGCTCAGTCTACTGGTGACCTCAAAATTTAAAAGTTTTCTGCTTTCATAAGACGTGACATTTTATAGAAGGTAAAACTTAACATTGGACCCCCCCCCCCCCCCCAATACACATTCATTCTGGAAAGTTTGAAAATAAACTGGATTTGTTGGGGAGAACCTAATGAGTCCAAGAGCTTTCATTAAAATTACATCATCTGAACTTCTTTGTCTGAAGATGCTAGGCTAACGGCTAGGAGCTTTAAATCTTGCATAGTTGTGGTGCCTTATTTTTAGACTTTGGCGTCTTGAGAAATATACAAAGAGCCAGCGCTAACCCCAAGGTGCTGCAGTGGCAGCTCTGTGTCATGCATTTTAAACGTGGTTGGAGGGGGTGAATTGTGGAGGGAACAACGGAGCGAGGGAAAAGAAGTTTGTCAGAGTTCATTAAGTATCAAGGGAACATTGCTGGAACTGGCAGCGTAAGCTGCGCCGGGGCCCTAGTGCCATTAATCACGACTGACATGAAACCAGGGGCCGGGGAGGAGGCGAGGGGGGGAGTCCCTGCAAGACTCTGGTAGTGATTATAGAATGTGGTCCAGGCAGCTCAGGCCAGGGGTGTTGAAGGTAAAACACACCACTGTCAAGGCTCCAAAGTTCAGCTGACCTCACACACATCCCACTCTCACTGCAGAGACCATGAGGACAAGACTGAAAACATGACAGGAACTGCAGGAGGAGGCCAGGAGTTTAGCCTCAGATGTGAGGTGCAGAGCAGAATATGAATCTCTCCCTCTGTGCTTTTCCCCTCCCGTCTAGAAACTGAGCTTCTGCGTTAATGGTGTGGTGTGAGAGTGGCTGCTGCAGTAACAGGGCACCGCTCATATATCTCTGTCGGCCTGCCTTATTTTCTCTCTGCACCCCCAGATAACTTGCGCAAGCTCGCCACACTGCTGCAGCCGCCACCCTGGAAGAAGAAATAAATGGGAGCGCAAAAGAGAAGGGGGTGAAAAGAAAGAAGAGAGCTTGTGACTCGTGAAGTTGGAGGCCTCTGTTAAGTGCTGTGCTTGAAAGCCCGTCCAGCCTCATTAGCTGTCAGTTGTAACAATACTGTGCTGGCAGCAAAGACTGCTCCCAGTCTCGGTGCCATAAATCACAGGCTGACAGGGCCCAGACAGGGCTGGGAACCAGCACACATGCAGGACTTGCTCACATTCAGGCTCCCTGTTATGGTTTCTTCAACACTTTCTCACTCTCTCATTCTCTCTTTTAACAACAGCTCATACTTTTTATATCTAACATTACATCTCTCTCTCTCTCTCTGTCACACACACACACACACACACACACACACACACACACACACACACACACACACACACACACGTAAAACATGTAAATATATGCAACACACTACATGTACAATACATGCATGTGTGTATTCTATATATATATATATATATATATATATATATATATATATATATAGAATACACAAACAAACATCCATTATCTTCCTTTACTTGCTTCTTCCTTTGTGAGTCTCGGGGGTCACTGGTGTCCATGTCCAGCAGTCACTGTGTGAAAGGCAGGGGACAACCTGGACAGGTCTCCACTGTCCATCACAAGGACACATAGAAACACGAGACAAACAACCTTTTACGCTCTCACTCACATCTAGGGACAATTTAGAGTTACCAATCAGTCTATGCTTTTTTTATGAATCCACAAAGACACACTGGAGTTCTTAATGAGCCTCTCTGTATTTCTCCATCAGATTCCTCAAAGCAAAAAGTTGTTGTAGCATCTCAAACCCTCTTCAGTTGATTTTTTTATTATTATCTACATAACTAGAGCGTTATTTTGACGCCTGCGTGGTAACTCACCTTGTAACAACAACATACAAAGACCCCAAAAGTCCAGGTTTAAAACCCACATCAATAATAAATAATCAAAAATAAAACGGGTCCAAATCCATGTATCTTCATTCACAAAGTGTACTTCAATAGAATGAACGTCACAAATATGTGGCAGCTGCC